GGACGTTGAGTTGAAGAAAGTTGTCTCTCGTCCAGGACTCGATGTCGGACAGGCAGCTGTCAGGACATCAGGGGTCGTGGAGTTGAGGGTAGAGGAGGAAAGGTAGAGTTGGGTGTCATCCGCATACATGTGGAAGTTAACCCCATGTCTGCAGATGATGTCACCAAGGGGGAGCATATAGAGGGTGAAGAGGAGGGGACCGAGGACAGAGCCCTGAGGGACACCACACGAGACAGTGCGGGGGCTGGAGGAAAAGCCGTTTGTGGAAACAAAATGAAGACAGTGGGACACGTACGACCTAAACCACTCAAGGACAGAGCCTTGAAGGTTGAGGTGGGAGGACAAGCGGTGGAGGAGGATAGCATGGTCGACCGTATCGAACGTTACCGATAGGTCGAGGTGGACGAAGAGGCAGAGGGAGTCCTGGTCACAGATGGTCAGGATGTTATTGGTGACCTCAACCAGGGCAGTTTCTGTGCTATGAGCAGCACGGAAACCCGACTGAAGGGGTTCGAATAATGAATGGGTGGAGAGGAAAGAGCGCAGCTGGGAGGCGACAACTCGTTCCAGTACCTTGGACAGGAAGGGGAGGTTGGAGATGGGCCGGTAGCTTGATAGCTGCGACGCATCAAGGGAGGGTTTTTTCAAGGTGGGAGTGATGGTGACAGTTTTTAAGGGAATGGGAAAAGAGCCAGAGTTGAGGGACAGGTTGACGATGTCTGTGATATGTGGGGCAAGGAGGTGGAGCTGGGAGATAAGGAGTGGAGTGGGGATGGGGTCAAGGGAGCAGGTGGTGAGTTTCAGGAATAGGATGAGTTTGGTGACAGAGGGTGGGGAAACGGGTACGAAAGAGTGTAGGGGAGGATGGGTAGGAGTCGGAGAGTGGGAGGGAGGGGGTGGGGGGTCGTTGGATGTTGGAGGGGAAGTGACCGTGGAGTGAATTCCCTTTATTTTGGATTCAAGGAAATCCAGCATCTCCTCGCAGTGAAGATTGGAGGAGATGACCTGCGGCGGGTGGCGGGGGGACGGAGCAGTCGGGATGTGGTAGAAAACAATAGCCTGGGGTTGCTCTTCGCCTCCAGAATTATCCTGGAGTAGATGGACGACTTGGCCGAGGCAAGAGTGGAGCGGTAGATTTTGAGGAGGTCCAGCCAGATTTATCGGTGGACCGTTAAGCCAGATTTGACGCAGGTGCGTTCAGCGACCCGCACCTGGCTTTTCAGTGAGTGGGGGTGGGTGTTGAACCAGGGGGAGGAGCGAGAGTAGGAACAACAGTATGGGAGGCGATGGGGGCAAGAGTATCGATTGTGGAGGAGAGGGTGTTGTGGAGGAGGGTGAGAGGAGAAGAGGGGTCAGTGAGTGTTGAAGGCCAGAGGGAGAGGAGTTCAGAGGACTCCAAGGCAGCGGTTAGGGATTGTGGTGGTATCTTCTTCCAGGGGCGGTAGAAGATGGTGGTTGGTCTGATGGAGGTGGGGAGGGGGGTGGAGGTGGTGAAGGAGATGAAGTGGTGGTCGGAGACGGCCTTGTCGGTGATAGTGACATCAGAGACACTGAGGCCCCGGGTGATCACCAAGTCGAGTGGGTGGCCGTGACTGTGAGTGGGGGAGTTGATGTGGAGGGAGAGGTTGAGCGAGGAGAGCAGAGGAAGAGAAGTCTGAGGAGATGGAGTAGGAGGGGGTGAAGTGCAGGTTGAAGTCGCCCAGGATGATGAGGCGATCAGAGCAGAGGCAGAGAGATGTAAGAAGTGTCGAAATATCGGAGATGAAGGTGGGACACGTTTTAGGTGGCCGGTAGAGAAGGAGGATTTTGAGCGAGAGGAACGAGGGGTGGGAGAAGGTGAGGTGCTCGAAAGAGGGGAAAGAGCCAGAGGAGTAGGGGGATAGGGCAAGTCGTGTCCTTGAGTTAAGGCATACACCACCGCCTCGGCGGTTGGGGCGAGGGATGTGGTGGGAAGTGTAGCCGGTAGCGTGGCATCCGTGAGGGGTAAGGTGTCGCCTGGGGTGAGCAAGGTTTCCGTTAAGGCCATGATGTAAACGCTCTCATCAAGGATGAGATCATCGATGACCAAGGCCTTGTTACAGATGGAGCGGACATTTTGTATTCCGATGTGGAGGGAGCGGTTGACAGAAGGGTGTGTGGGAGGGGAGGGGTGTCCAGGTTGTGAAGCAGGGGTGGGGGAAATGGGGATAAGGGAGGAGAGGTTGGCTCCCCGGGTCTGTGTCCGGTGAGTCCAGCGGAGGATTCCCAGGCTGGAACAGAGGGGGGTTGTGAGAGGGTCAAGTGGGGATAGAAGGCGAAAGGGACGGAGAGAGAGGAGTATAGAGCGGGAGAGATGCAGAGGTGGGAGGGTTTGGGGGTAGAGAGGAGGGAGTAGGAGGGAGGGGGTGAGGGGACTCGGGTCAAAGCGGCAGTCATAGTGCGCACGCGGGGACCGGGAGCGAGCGGTCAGGTGGATGGCATTATCCCATAGGCTGGGGCTGGGGCAGCCAACCCAACAGGACCATGGTCGGCTCTGATGTGAGCCCTGGGGGGGGGGGGGGAAGAGTTTTTTTTTACTCAAGTGCAATCATATCCCCAAATTTAATTAATATGTTGTCATTTTAATAATAAGATTAGCAATTCTTGCATTTCTTATAGCCTCCTATCAGGTTGTTGAGAATTCTCGAGGCATATAACAGAATATACGATGAAGTGGATATTTGATGGGTGAAACGTTGCAGCCAGCAATGCCCCGTAAACAGTCGTTGACCAATTTAGTATTATTATTAACAAAAACAGGGATTGCAAGGAACACTCAGCAGGTCTCTCGTCTATGGAGAAAGGAAAAGGGGTCAAGGTTTCATGTCCATGACCCTTCTTCAGAAATTCGCTAGTTCATCTTAGTTGACCCACTTCAGAATTCCAGCATCCGCAATATTTTGCGTTTAGTTTATTTTTTTTATTTCTGGAGGAATTATTCCCCCCAGAAAATTATCCATCAATCCACTAACAACCGGTTTCCGAGTTACTGCTCGGGAAACAGAGGCATGTGTGTAGAGTAAGGAAACTTTCCTAAAATATCGCCCAGTTCTACCTGAGAATCAAACTCGAGTCCTCTCGCTCGCAAGGCAAACAGTCGAACCACTAAAATACAGGACTCCAGCAATCGTGGTTGAATTAGCTTCAATCAAAAGTAGTGGTTTAATTTTAAGAGAACCTTTCGATCATCCCAATTCAATTTAAAAGTAATCATAAAACATGCCAATAATATTGCAAGTTTCACCCATTTTAAAACCTACAACCATTTGTAACATAATTGCATTAAGTACTTTTCTGTGCCAAGTCAAACTAAGAAAGGATTCAATAATAATAATAATCATCCCTGCATTTGATACAGTGTCTTATCACACCGTCGAGATATCTGAAAGCACTTCACAGAATGTGCTGTCAAGTTAATTGACTGCCTCTTCCCGGAATGGCTCCTTGTCCTCGACAATAGCAACCTGCACTTCGCCACCTCCTGCTCCGTCTCCATTGACTTATCGTCACTTCTCTCCTCTCACAGCCACTCCCTCCATATCCAATTCACCACCTATATCCATGGCCAAACGCTTGACCTGGTGATCACACGGGGTTTCAACGTCTGGGACATCACCATCACTGACAAAGCCATCTCTGATCATTACAACATCTCCCTTAACTCCTCAAACCCTCTCCCCACGGTTACCCAACCCATCTCCATCTCCTACAAACCGTGGAAAATGCACGCCCTCACTTGGAGTTATTTGGACTCCTCCCCTCTGGGCTTCCTCTTGCAATGACTTTTCCTCCTTGGTCACTTTCTTCCACTGCTCCCTCTCCATATCTCGCACGAGCCCGTAGTTTCCTCACTGCCCGAACTGCTTCCTACTTACTGAGTTCACCCAAGTACTCCAGGCACCAGCACTCTCTCAACACACAGGTGCATGGCGCCGAATGCATCCTTCTCAACTCTGACTGAACAGTCCATCAGCAATACCATCAGCAGATCGAAATTTTATCAAAATGAGCTGATCTTGTGAATGGTGGCGCGGGGGAGACCGGCGAGGAGTGGGTTGGAGGAATCCGGGCGGGAGGTGACAAACACGTGCCCGAGGGTTTCGGCTGCAGTCGGGGTCCGGGACGGTCGGAGGCGCGCAATGTGGCGGAGGTGGAGGAAGGTGGTCCTGGTGGGGACGGGATGTGGGGGAGGAAGGACGGTGGGGATCGAGCCGGACCCCGGGGTTGGGCACTGGTTCGGGGAGTCTGAGGGAGAGTCCGGGGAGGTTGAGGAGCTCAGATCCACAGGAGTGAAGGCGGTGACGGGAGCCGAGGAGTATGGCTTCCGTCTTGTCCACATCCAGCGGCAGGAAGTCTGCGCTGATCCGGGCCCTGAGTGAGCGCGAACTGATCAGAGAAACACAGAGAGAGATTGACTTTCACGAGTTTTATTAATTATCTGATCACTCGGAATGTGTGTGAGAGACCGAGAGAGAGAGAGAGACTGAGACCCACACGCGCTCACACACCCACACGCTCTCACACTCCGTCTCACTGACCCGATCCGCCATCAGCGCCGAGTTGTCCCGCCTCTCGGGGCCGCTCCCTCCCCGACTGCTCAACCCCCCACTGCCGCCGCCGCCGCCGCCATGTCCGCGCTTCTCCTCCTCCTCCAACCGTCACTCTGTCAGCGCCCACTCGCTCCCCATTGGTCCTTTCTGAACACCCGCCCCCTCAATTGGATCGTCCCATTGGTCCGCCGAGATGTCAATGTGACCCGTCGCGCTCTGATAGGCCCCGCGGTCAGTGTCGGGGGGTTAGTGTCAGGTCGGTGTCAAAGTCAGTGCTGAAGTACGGGAAGAGTTTCCCAGTGAACTTGTGGGTGAAAGTGAAGAGATGAGACATGTGTTCAGCGTCGTACAGCGACACCTGTCCTCCCGCATAGTCCAGGTACACGCCCAGCACCCGGGGGCTCACCCTCAGGGGGAGGGGGGTATGAGGTGAGGATAGAGCTTTATATTCCCCATTGTACAGCCCCACAGCCCAGACTCCAGCCTCAGGTCCATGTGTGAAATACTCTTCCTGGGCACAGACTCTCGGGCCACCCCCACTGTCCAGTATGTGCTGTTCCCCACCTCCACCTCCCAGTAATGTCTCCCTGATGTGAACCCCTCAGACCCCAGGACACGGGGCCAGTCACTGAGCAACCGACGATGATGAACCAAGTATTTAACACGCGGATGTGTGTCAGGAAGCAGCTGTTCTCTGTCACCGAGTCTCACTCGGGTCCGGTCCTCAGACAGGATGAGCCGGGGATGGGCTGTGTTAGGATCCAGAGTCAGAGAGGCTGGAGCTGAAACAGAGAATGTTGACATGTTGGAGATCGTGTGGTGAACGGTTGACATTATATTTCAATGGTTCATTCAGTGAGGTTTGGATTCCTGCTCTGTGTGTCTCAGGTTACATGTGGGACACCAGTAATGTCTGGCTGTGACCCGGGGCCCGGCCACCGCAGGGCTGAGGTGGGCTGAGCTCCCAATGATCTTATTCAGCATTCCCGACCGAGGGGATGAGGAGCGAGAACAAGAAATCAGCACATCATCTGCTCCACGTGGCTCTGCTGTGGGAAACAGATTGATTGACTTGCTGTAATGTGTCGTCTCTGAACACAATGTGACAGCCACAGACACACCGATACACACATCCTTCCTAATCCATCCCATATTATTCAATGTTTGCTTATGGTGATCTCTGTCTGATTGTAAATAAAATAATATAAAATAATAATAATTCTTGCATTGTTAAAGTGAATTAACTGCATATTTTGGGGACTAAATGCAGTAGCCAATTGCGCACAGAATGTCCCACAAACAGTTGTGTATTCAGTGATAACATTTTCTTTTTTAAAGGAAATTTTGACCCCGCGAACACGATCTGCCAATCGACTGACAACCAGGTTCCTACTCACTTACTTCTCGCTAAGCAGAGACATGTGGAGTAAGAAAACTTGCCCCACACTTCACCCCGCCAGGAATCGAACCCAGGTGCGAGGTGAATGCTCTTACCACTGAGTTAAACAACTCCATTTGATATGGATTTGCAGTTATGAAAAAAGTGGGTTATAAACTCTCTAAAATGATATCTGAAAAGGATTACTTGGCTGTTGAGATTGTCATTTCCAAAGCCATCAGTATTTTTTTTCACCTCACTGTGGAGCAGAAAAGTATAAAGTGTAAAATATGTTGATTTTCTCCTTTGATTTCCACCTTTTGTTGTGATGTTTCAGCTCTGTAGCCTCTCAATTTGTTATTATTTTAGTGTTACTTGTGCAAGACACGGATGCCCCCTTTTTTCAATGTAACATTTAGGTTTCAAGGAGACTTTGAATTATTTATATAATAATTGGTTTATGACCAAGTGTTGTGTCTTTGCTGCACTTTCGAGATGTCTGAAATCGCTTCACAGAATATACTGTAAAGTGAAGTAACTGAATATTTTGTTGGTGAAATGTGGCAGCCAAATGCGCACTAGCAGTGTCCCACAAATAGGCGTGGGTTGAGTGACAATTTTAAAATAATTTAAAGAAAATATTAAATCCCGACACCCGATGTTCCAATTGACTGACAACCAGTTTCGTATCTACTTCTACGTAAGTAGAGGTGTGTGGAATAAGAAAAATTGCCCAACATTTCACGCTACTGGGAGTCAAACCCAGGTTTCCTTGTTGCGAGGCGAGTGCTCTAACGACTGAGCTACAGGACTCCATTTGACATGGATTTATAGGTATGAAAAAGTGGGTTATAAACTCTCTAATTCTAATATGTGAAAAGCATTATTTAGCTGTGAAGCTTATCAGCTCCAAATCCACAATACTGTGGAGCATTTAAAAAATCGTAAAATATGCTGATCTTCTCCTTTGATTTTCTACTTTGAGTGATCTTTCAGCTCTGTAGCGTCTCAGATTATACTTGTTTTAGTTATACTTGCGGAGACGAGTATGCCCCCTTTTTCAATGTAGCATTTAGGTTTCACGGAGACTTTGAATTATTTATTCAACATTTGGTTTATGACCAGCTCCATCATCATAATGTTGTGTCTTTGCTGCGTGTAATAATAAAATTAATCCTTGCATTTGATATAGCGCTTTTCACGTCTTCTATACTGTAAATTTTGTGGGCGCAACGCGGCATCCAATTGCGCACAGCAGTGTAATGTCTACCCCTTGTTGTCGGAGGTAAATTGGTACAAAATGGTTTGGTAGCACATTGGAGCTCGTTGGATGTCAGATGATAAGTGACAACGGGAGGCGGCGGGTAGGGGCAATGTGTCTGATGGGAGGCAGGAGGGTTTGTGGGGTTGGTGGTTTAATGGAGTCTCCTTGGAGCTGAACTGCCTTCAATGTACACAGTTCAGCTCCAAGGAGTACAAGATTGCAGGGCTATGAGGAGAGCGCGGGGGTGTGGGATTGATTTTGATAACTCTTTCAAAACAGTTGGCCCACACAGGATGAGCCAAATGGCCTCCTTCTGTGCTGTATAATTCTATGATTCTATTCAGTAACATGCCTACAATGTGATATCAGAATCAAGCTCACCTTCTGTGGCAATCTCCAGCCTGGTCTCTGCGCCTGGCAGTACTCCATGACTGATGACGGTGGAGCCAGCCTGTCTCATTGGCAGGACTTAGAAAGGCAGCAGTCACTGGGATAGGGATTCTCCCACTGGGTCCCTGACATACCAAAATCCTTGTGGGTTGAGCAGCCCTTTGGACAAGCAACGGGAATCCTGCCAGAATGTGCTCTCAATGGCAAGTTGTGTGGTTTCAGCTGGTTAATTTCCAGCAATTACTTCAACTCACACTCCGGTGTCACTAAGCCATGGCTCTTCCCAGTTTTCAGCTGTTGCTCTCCAGAATGATGTGAACAGGATGCTTCCCTCCAGGAAGGGCATGGATTGCATTCCAGACATGGATTTCCATTGTCAGAGGGATAGATGAAACTCTCAGTCTGTTTTGGATTCTCTTTAGTTTGGTGACGAGAGTGACCTATGTCAGACACCTGACTGTCCACAAAAATGGCTGTGTACAGATTCAACAAAATGTAAATAGCACTACATTTGTGCATCAGCATTGTGCCTGATAGTTTCTCTTCTTTTACTTATCACACTTATAATATAATATTTACAATAGAGATGCACCAAAGGGATATGGACAAGGAGCAACTTAGGGAATTTTTCATTAGCAGAAGATTGGTGCTAGGGAAACTGTTAGCACTAAAAAGTGACAGATCCCTTGGTCCGGATGGCTTGCATCCCAGGGTTTTAAAAGAGGGAGCTTATGAAATAGTGGAGGCCTTATGCCTGATCTTCCAAAATTCCTTGGATTCTGGAATAGTCCCCATGGACTGGAAGATTGCAAATGTCACACCACTTTTTCAAAAAGGTGGAAAGTTAAAGATAGGGAACTATAGGCCAGTTAGTCTCACATCAGTGATAGGAAAAAAAAATAGAATAGTTGATTAAGGACGTGGTAGTGCAGTATTCAGGGGAGCACAATATAATTAGGCCAAGTCAACATGGCTTTACAAAAGGGAAGTCATGTTTGACAAATCTCATAGAGTTTCTTGAGGATATTTCCAGTAAACTAGATAAGGGTGGATCAGTGGATGTGGTCTAATTCGACTTCCAGAAGGCATTCGATAAGGTGCCGCATAAAAGGTTACTCCAAAAGATATGGGCCCATGGAATTGGGGAGTGCATATTAACATGGATTGGGAATGGTTAACGGGTAGGAAACAAAGAGTAGGGATAAACGTGTCCTTTTTGGATTGGCAGGATGGGACTATGGAGTACCAAAAGGATCAGTCCTTGGCCCTCAGCCATTTACCATTTACATCAATGATCTAGATAAGGATATTGAAGTTAATATATCTAAATTCGCGGACGACACAAAATTAGGAGGAAGTGGCAACACAGAGGATGACATTAAAAAAATGCATCAAGACATAGATAGGTTAGGTGATTGGGCAGGTAGGTGACAGATGAACTTTCATGTAGGCAAGTGCGAAGTCATCCAGCTCGGTAGCAAAAACAGCAGAGCAGGTTATTTTTNAGAAGGGGAGAGATTGGAATGTGTTAGCGTCCTGAGGGACTTGGGTGTCCTTGTACACCAGTCACAGAAAGCTAGTCTGCAGGTGCAGCAACAATTAGGAAGGGGAACGGTATGTTATCATTTATTATGAAAGGATTAAAGTGTAAGAGTACGAAAGTCTTGCTGCAACTGTACAGGGCCCTGGTGAGACCATACCTGTGTCCAGTTTTGGTCTCCTTATTTAAGGAAGGATGTACTTGCCTTGGAGGGGGTGCAGCATAGATCTACTAGGTTAGTACCAGGGATGAAGTGGTTGAGTTATGAGGATAGGCTGACCAATTTGGGCCTATATTCTTTAGAATATAGAAGAATTAGAGGGGATCTTATAGAAACCTTTAAGATCATCAAAGGGCACGATAATAATAATCCTTGCATTTGATATCGCGCTTTTCACATTGGGAGGACGTCCCAAAACGCTTTACAGAACACCCTGTAAAGTGAATTGGCTGTGTATTTGTGGGCGAATGCGGCAGCCAATTGCGCACAGGAATGTCCCACAAAGAGTCGTAGATTGAAAATGACCAATTTATCACTGTTTTGGGTTTTGGAGAGATTATTATTAGGCTCTGTGTGGAGTATGGAAACTTGCCCAAGGTTTCGCCCTGCCTGGAATTGAACTCAGGTCTCTCGCTTGCAAAGCGAGCGCTCTAACCACTGAGCTACAGGACTCCACGATAGAGTAGATAGTGGCGATTGTTTCCCCTGATTGGAGAAAATAAAACCAGGGGTCACATCCTTAAAATCAGAGGTCAGCCCTTTCGCACTGAGTTGAGTAAGAACTCAAGTCAGTGCGAAAGGGCTGACCTCTCGCACACAAAATACCCTGACCACCGTGAACACCCCCCCCCCCCCACAATCATTGACCACCCCATCATTCCCGAATAATCGATCACCTCTTCAACCCCAATTTCTGCCCTCCCATATCTCACCATCTCTTGCTCCACTCCCACTCACTTTCCCTGCGCCATGTCCCCTCCCTGCCCACTTCTCCATTTCCACTCTGGCACGTCATTTATCCCACACACTTATAATGCTCGGTGTGAGCCGACCTCATTCCCCTCATCTCTCACCAATTATTCTCCTTCTTTCTCACTAAATATTATTGAAACCCGCATTTCTGTATCTTGCTCTGAACAACTCAAACGCCCTCTCACAGTCCCGATTATTCCACTGCCCATAGCCAGTGTCTGACTAAATGTATCTCTGCATTTCATCCGTATGTCCTTTCTGTGATATGTCACTCCCCATACCACACTCCTCCTTCTTGACCACTCTCCATACACTATGTCATACATTAAACATTCGTGTGATTGATATCTTTCCTTTGTCAGCCGGTGCGGACTCGATGGGCCAAAAAGGCCTTATTCTGCACTGTAACTTCCAATGTTTCTGTAAACATACGTGACCTCTTTTCATCCCTCTCATCATATTCAAAATATTTCAAAGCCGATGATTGAAAGATGATGTTCAGAGCCTCTGCTACTTTCGTACTGACTTCCCTCAGAATTCTATGAGGGATGTTTTTTATTTTAAATATTTATGATTATAAAGGTAATATGTTGCTATGGCTGCTTTTTCGCTCAAATTTATGTGCAAAATCTCCCCCTGTATCTCATTTCCATTGTTGTAAGTGTCAATGACAAACATCAACAAGAGGAACAGTTTGTTTCACACAATGCCTTCGAATTCCAATCATGATGGTCCAATCGTTAACAAAATCTTAATTGACAATTTCACTCCCATTTTTCCTCTCTTTCTCTCTCACTTACCTTTCTGAAGAACCTTCTTCACAGTTTTTGTTTCCATCTTCCTCAGAGCTGCAAAGAGTTGTTTCATACTGTGAAAGTTATCATCCTCCAAATCACTGTCACTACAATCGGTGGGCTCTCCAGAGGCTGCGGTGTGGGTGAACACAGCTGAGGGTTTGAATCTGAAGTGAAGAGGCATCTTGTCATCTTTGGGACATGGTATGTCAGATTGGGTGATGGCCTCGAGAACAGGAGGAACCTGTCTGTCTGCGAAGGTGACCAGCACACGGATGTTCTCAGTCACATCCTCCGTAAACATAGAAAGAAATGAACTAAATTGGCATTCCTGATCAGAAGTTAATTGCACTAAATAGGCTTGGACAACAAAGCACAAGGCATCAATTTGTTTCACAACTTCTTGAGAAGAAAAAAGATCTTTGATCTGATGATAGAGTTTGTAACATCTGATATATTCAGGGATGTGTTTATTTTGTGATGCGTCTGCAAATCTGGGGATGTCGACAATAGTCAGAGAGAAAGGAACCCTGAACCCCTCTTGGTGGTTGAATTCATGGACGATGATGGAAGATGTTTCAGCCTGGGAGCGGTTTGTTTCTTCCTCGGTCAGTTTGTAACGAAACAAGTCCTCGTGCTCCACACCAAGGATATAGTTCACCATGTCATTGATGAGACTGCTTTTTCCAAATTCACTTTCTCCGAGAAGCAAGATGGTCTTCTCACTCTGTGTGGGTGAATGGCTTCCAAAGCTGTATTTTGTAAACTCTCCATTCTTGCCGAGTCTCTGTGTATGTAATGGGAGCTTGTAAGCAGCATAGCTTCTGGTTATTAATGTGCTTCCTGTGAGAGGCCTTCGGGCCCGTGACTTTGGTTCTTTGTCTATTGTTATTGAGGCGAGGTGACTGTGTGCACTCTCCACCTGTCCACACACAGCAGACACCCTCAGTGTGTAGGTTGTACTTGGTTTCAGCCCCTTCAATGTGTAAAGAACTTCATTGTCTTTTGTCCTGATCTTTTCCCATGTGTTAGTCCCAGGACTGGAGATGCCGCTGATGGTTTCTCTATACTCTAACTTGTAGTGATCTATAGTGACGCCATGTCCAATCTGGGCAGGCCTGTCCCAGGAGACTGCCACATCAAAGCCCTCTACCTGGCACATTGAAACCTTCTCTGGGGCACTTGTGGGCAGTGTAGTCACACTCACAGTATCACTAGGTGGACTGCACGCTGCTCTGTATTGGAAATCATACTCCTGGTATGGAGATAAACCAGTTATGGTGCAGAAGTCTGATTCCACTTCTGTGTTTGAAGTTGTCCATTCTTCCCCCTGGGAGCTGCGATATTCTACCCGGAACTGGATGGACTCGCAACTGCCAGTTTCCAGTGCCTGTAGCCGTAGCTTCACACTGTCATGGGTCTTTCCACAAACAGAGGGAGCTGGAGGCTTGAAGCAGCGGTTCACCAAATCTCCTCCTTCATACAGGTAAATGGAAGCTCCCACATGCTCCTCGTCCGGCTCAGAAGCAACAATGAATTTTGTATTTTTGTCCGCTTTGTTGGCTTTGTGAAATCTCAGGAATAATCGTGCTCGCTTTCTCATCTCACGGGATACGGTCACTGAGTGGACCCATTGCTTCTGATCTGATGTTGGAAGCTGGGTTTTCTCAGTCGTTTCACATCGAAGATGCTTGGCCATTTCTAACAAATACAAATCTTCCTGGTGCAGCGATGTGAACATGAAGCAGATCACATATTCTGTGTTCATGTCCAGTATCTCCATATCCAGTTCACTGCGTGATTTTACCATTTTTATGGCATTCATTTGGCTGAGGTAACTTCTGACCACAGACATTTCCCTGTTCTTGTTGTCCAGCCATTGTGTGAGTGATTGGCTTCTGAATGGGGATTGTTCCATGTTCTTCAGAATATCCACCAGTTTCCCTTCCTCCTCCCCACCTCCCCGAATAGATGGCAACACTCTGGCCAAGGCCTTCTGGAAATCCTGTTTGTACTCCACACACATTGCTCTGAACCTCTGGATCTTTTCTTTTATCACTGGACATTGATCACTGACTTGGTCTTTCATCATATCACAGCATTTTGTCGCCACCTCATTGACTTGTTCCAGCACAGCCTGGGCCCGGTTGACCAGATTTATACTGATGTCCCTTACAAGCTGAGCTGCTTTTGAGTCAAGTTGATTGAGTGGATAGAGCCAGACTTTGACAGGCACCGCTTGCTTTCTATCCTCTCCCAACAGCTGTGGCAGAGTTGAGTAAACACTCATAGCATCTTCGAATGTAGTGGGATTGTTTGGAAGTGCAAAATCGCCATAGAAGGTGCAGCTGAACTTCTGTGTGTTTTCTTTCTCTTCCTCCTTCATTTTAAATGAACCTTCACCCTCGATTGCAACCTTCGGTATGATGTTAATAGACACTTTCATTGAACCCTGAATATCTTGTAGATTTTCTGAGGAAGAGACTTCTCGATCAAATACAAAAAATGCCTGAGCGCCGTACAGCACTGCTGTGACCACGTGCGTTGCTGTGCCCTGATCAAACACGTAGGGGTAAGACACATTCTGGCGCCCCAAGTGGGTCATTGTCAATTGCTCAAATTTTGTTGTGGTGGAATACTGGAGGGTCACTCGGGCCTGATGCTCAGATTTCTTTCTGTCATTCAAGAACTTTGCAGAACCTTCCACCTTGACCAATCCACCCAGAAAGCTCCCCTTCAATGTCGCTGTCACATTCAGGGCCTTAGCTTTGTCCTCAATGCCATCTGAGGCAATGATATTAAACTCAGTATTCGGTTGAGGTCGCACATCCAGGTGGTTTTTCAATGTTTCCAAGTCCCACAGTGTGACAGCTAGAAAATGAGACAAGGAAACATATTGACACTGAGTCTAGTTCCAGGACGGAATTAAGAGGGATATTAGTGGAATCTTCACTGTGTTTGCTACCCATCGGATTCACAAGCATGTAAGTGGAGATCAAACAGAGTTTACTCAGCATTGTGGTTGACCCTGGAATGTAATACAGTCCACAATGATTCTACTAATATGTTTTTTTTTGGGGGGGGATTGAGAGGGGAGATCACCTAGTTTTTCATATGCGGAAACCCATCACAATGATTAATAGTATCCAAAACAAGCTTCATCCATCTCACCTGCACATGGAAATCCCAGAGGTTATTGGGATGGAAGGTGCATTCTCTTCCTGGAGGGACACATCCTGCTTACCTAATTCTGGAATGTATTATATGCAGGTTGTAAAGTGTAGTAAACGTATGGAACAGCCTCCCTCCAGAGGCAGACAGTGGAAGCAGAAAGTGTTATTTGTTTCAAGAGCCAATTCGTTAGATCTTTGTTGGGAAATATTATCTGGAGGTACAGTGTATAAAGGATGCACACAAAACGTAACTGCCCACACTGAGGAAAGTATTCCCGGGAAGCGCAAAATCTTAGGCAACTTTCCTCAGTCCACACACCACTGTTTGGAAGTAAGTTATCAGTCGATTGGCAGATCAGTTTCCATGGGTAATGCTTCCTTTAAAACACAGGTGCACAAAATATACAGTCAATTCACTAAGCAGTATATTCCGTGAAGCGCTTTGAGAGGTCTCATTGACGTGATAATTCACTGTATGACAAATGAAAGGGTTATTATTAGTATAATTATGAAAACCTGCCTCTTTGACTGCGCCTGATCACGTTCCCCCACCTCTTCTTTTCTTGGGGTCTGAGGCCATCTGAGATGTTATTCTATGTTAAGGAAACTATGTTAATGCAGGTTATCAACACCCAAGGTTTGGGGAGACCAGAGTGTGCTTTCCTATACTGCTGCAGTCCAGCCAGATAAAACCGCACTGGTTGTCATTGATAATGCTTTCCCATTGCTTGCCCAGCTCGGACCCTACCCATTATGACTTTGTCTTACAGCGTTAACAGGAGCTGAGAGGGATGACTCCCTGCCCCTAGTAACTAGTCTGCCCTTCCGGGTCCTGCCGATGAGCCAGGCTGGGCTGTCAAGTCATTGCCAGTGCCCTACAATACTGCAGGCTTGCCCGGCTTAGAAAACTGATGATCCAGACTGTTACAGATGCCTCGCTCGATTTCCACATTCCATTGCCTGCCATGTCTGCTTTGAGCTAATTCAGCAATATAAAGGATTGTTTCAAAACATTACTGTGCACACACTCAGTACAGTAAATATAGAGGATTTGGACAGAACATAACTGTGCCCATACTAAGTTCAGTGAACAACAATAACAATAATTCTTGCATTTGTTATAGTGCCTCATCATGACATCTGAATTGACTGTACATTTTGTAGGCAAAATGCAGCAGCCAATTGCACAGGCATATCCCACAAACAGTCGTGGATTTAAAGACCAAATTTTATTATGTTTTTGAAGGAATTATTACCCCTGAAAAGCGATTCTCCAATTGACTACAAAACAGATTTCTATTTACTGCTACATAAGCAGAGGCATGGGGAGGAAGGAAGCTTTCCCAAAGTTTTGCCCTCTGTGAATCAAACCCAGGTCTCTCACTTACGAGGCGAGTGCTCTAACCACTGAGCCATAGTACTCCACAGAAGTAACGGTAAGTGTATGGAACAGCCTCACTCGGGAGGTGGACAGTGGAAGCAGAAAGTGTTATCAGTTTCAAGAGCAAATTAAATAGATTTCTGTGTGAAATATTATCTGGAGGTACAGTGTATGGAGGATACACACAGAACATAACTCTGCCCACACTGAGTAAAGTATTCCTGGGCTTGGCTAATAGTTAGGCAACTATCCTCATTCCACACACCACAGTTTGTAAGTAGTAACCTGCTTATTAGTCGATTGGCATATCAGTTTCCAGAGGTAATGCTTCCTTCAAAAAACAGTTGCACAAAATACACAATCAATTCAATTAGCAGTATATTGTGAAGTGCTTTGAGAGGTCTCAACAACATGATCATAGATTAAAGAATTATTATTCATATAATTCTTAATATCTGCCTCCTTGACTGCGCCTGGTCACCTTCTCCCATCACTTCTTTTCTTGGGGTCTGAGGTCATCTGAGATGTTATTCTGTGTTAAGGAACCTATATTAATGCAGGTTGTTTTAATTGTTGCTGCAATATTTTTAAATGAGTTCACTGACATGTTTGTTTCACTTCCAGCTATTATTATACTTTCAGTGTGTCGACACATGGCTGTGTCAGAGCACAGATTGGGAAGAGCAGTTACTGGCTGACATTACCTGGGATCAGAGAGTCTGAGCGACAGTCATACAACATCCCCAACTGGAATGGACGGCCTAAACACGCCAGCTCTGTGTTCACATTCGCCATTGTCCACACTGGCCGACCGTCACTACTGCAGACAGAGAGAGACAATTATTGTTATTACTGCTCTGAAATATCTCATTATTTCATAGATAGATACTGTGATATATATTATAATAATTGTTATCATTGGATAATAATAAATAATCCTTGCATTTGATATAGCGCTTTTCACGTCGGGAGGACATCCCAAAGCGCTTCACAGACCACACTGTAAAGTGAATTGACTGTATATTTGTGGGCGAACGCGGCAGCCAATTGCGCACAGCAATGTCCCACAAACAGTCGTAGATTGAAAATGACCAATTTATTATTGTTTTTGGTTTTGGAGGGATTATTATTAGGCTCCGTGTGGAGTAAGGAAACTTGCCCAAGGTTTCGCCCTGCCTGGTATTGAACTCAGGTCTCTCGCTTGCAAAGTGAGTGCTCTAACCACTGAGCTACAGGACTCCAAAGGATCTAGGGAACCAGGCTTCATGTCAGGTGTACAGCGCTATTGATAAACAAGTTCTTGTTCTTGTGTTGCTTTTAAATTTGATCGACAACTTTATTCGCTGTCGATCATTCTGTTCTTCTCCACCACCATTCCTCTCAGCTCCAGATACACGGTTCTGTCCCACCTGGTACTATTCTTATATGTCCCATTGTCTACACATTATATCGCTCAATGGCTTTTCTTCCTGACTCTTCACTGTCATATATTGCATCCTCAGGGCTGCCATATCATCTGCCCTATTCTCTTTGTAAAAATAATAATAATAATCCTTGCATTTGATACAGTGCTTTTCACGTCTTCTCGACATCTGAAAGCGCTTCACAGAATAGACTGCAAAATGACTTGACTGTATATTTGTGGGTGGAACAATTAGTATCATCCGCAGGAATGGGAATAACTTCTGAGGTATAATAATCACAAACAGATGTAACAGGGATTAGGAGGAATTTGGGTTTGCATACAAACAGTTGTGTAAGATAATTGAAGAATCTTACCCTCCCTCCCACCTCCCTCAGTGTCATGCTCCACCAGTATCAAATGCTTTGGGACGCTAACATGTGTGAAGGGCGCTATGGAAATATAAGTTGACCAAAGGCAAAGCAACATATCTACCAGAGTACTGATCAAATGCGTAAGCAAGCAACCACTGTCAGCAAATGAGGTAAGAGACATTATCAAGTTAAAAGACAAGACAGTATCAAGCTAATGTAAGGAAAAGTGGAAATCCAACGAACTGAGACAGGTATAACAAAGTGTCACAAGTAAAGAAATAAAAGATCAAAATGGGACTTGGGGGGAAAAAGCTTGCAAGGGTATTAAGGGCAACAGTAAAAGTTGTTATAATTACATTAAGAAAAAAGGGAGTGGTTAAAGGGGAATTTGTGCCCAATAATAAATATAGGTGAGACAATTCGGGATAATAAGGAAATGGTAAACAACAACAAGAACAACAAGATTACATTTGTATAGTGCCTTTCACGTCAGGAGGACGTCCCAAGGAGCTGGACAGAGTATAGCATTTCAGACCCGAGCGAGGGTCAGGAGGGGAGGGCAATGGGAGTGGTCGAAGAGGACTCTTTGATTTAATGTTTACTGGTTAAATCAATACTTCCGTCTGCACAAAGAGGAAGAGGACAAAATACCAGCGATACAAGGAAAACTAACATTAAATCAAAGAGAAATATTGATGGATTTGATATGAATAAGAAATGGTAATGGAGAAAATAATGAGGCTAAAGGCAGACAAATCTCCAGGAACTGATGGTACCCAAACAAGTGTATTAAAATTAACAGGATAGAAACTTCATCTGTGGGGAAGTCACTGGATTCTCTCAATGACTGAGAATTTGGGCAATTATCAGCTAATAAAAGAGAGTCAACACGGATTTAAAAATAAAAAATAAAGATAAAGGGAACTTCACAGGATATATTATATTGTGAAATGGTGCTATTGAGTATATTTTGTGGGTGAAAATGGCAGAAAATTTCACAGCTCATTGTTTTCCATACAACCATGGAACCATTGTTGATCAGGAATATGGCAGAAACTCTTTTCTCTTTGCCGTGGGATGTTTATCGACAACAAGTTGCAACCCCACCGTGCAATTAGCACAGTTCCCTCTTGCAGGGAAGCATCCCAGAGGGCTTGACAGTGGTGGAGCTCGACCCTGAGTCAGAGGGAGGATGGAGGGTGGAGGTGAACATATGAGCAGGGGAAGGAAGGGATGTGGGGAGGTTATGGATGACGACTTAATATGAGCTTAGTTTGAAATCGAGTGAACTAATTGGGTTAAGTGGTGTTTTCAGCGCAAATAACAAAAAAAATCTTTATTGGTATATCACCTTTCACATCAGCAGCTCTCAAAGTCCTTCATAGGATACAATGCGTGAATGCCGATTAAAACGCAGAATCGCACAAATATATATGAAATGCATGACATTTTTGGGGGGTAATTGTCAACCAGGACATCAGAAAAATCTTCTCCCTTTGTAGTCCTTTAGATATGGTTCATGTAAATTATGTTGATTATTGTAGGTGCAACAATATCCCAGAAGTGGGTTCCTGTCTCTTATTTGCAGCAATAATAGATCAGAAAGTTAAATTGGAATAAGTGTTCTGTCACCTTAATTTCTGAACAATTATATTTTGTAAAGAGCTTTGAGGTGCTCAAGTTTATATGAAAGTTTCTGTTTTATGTGAGTTATCATAATGCAAGGAATGCAGAGATTAGAAATGTGTGTTTTATTTTGGTGAGTGTAATTGCGCCTACTCATCACTTAATAATGTGAACTAAACTGAATCTCATTGCTTCAGCAGGAAGGCAGATTTCCCCCAGAAAAGCCTCCACGCCCCCACCCTCCCCACTCTAATTCCTTAATCAACAACAGCAACAACAAATTGCATTTGTATCACAGCAGGAGGACGTCCAACATTATCAAAAGATGTGGATCCAGTTTCTTACTCGTGGCCTCTCAACCAGTTCAGGTAATGGGATCACCTCTACAGGAGGTCAAGAGCGGCCTGAGCCTAGTGACTAAGTGCTCAGTGAGCTCTGCGTTTCAGATTCTCCAACTCTTTTGTGAGGACCGAAAACAACTCCTTAGACAGGAAATACTGCAATACTGATCGCAGCCACGAGGGGGCGATAGTACATCTTTCCTGACAGAACCCCATCCTCCCATACTGTAATGTTCCTTCCTGAAACATGACCCTTGAAATCTCTGCCAGCATAAAATACTCCTGCTTCTACTCCTTCACTATTCTCAATCAGTTCTCTCTCACGACTCTGTGCAACTTCTCTTTCTCCTGGACCCTATCACTGCCTCCCTCTGACCTGCCTGGACACTCTCTGCTCCAGCTTGGGCATCCACAATGATTCTCAACCATCCCAACTAGCTCATCGCTCACTCTATCCAAAATATCAGCCAATCCCATCTATAAAAGGCAAATATCCCTTCACTACTCCACATCCTTAACTTTACTAACTCTTCTCCCCCTCTTTGGTCACTCAACACCCACACCCAAAAATCCACTGCCCTCCCTTGGCCTCCTCCATCAGCACTCGCATTTCCTTCCAAACATCCGCTCCCTTTCCAATAAAGCCCTAACACGACGCCAATAAAAGAACAACATATAGCGCCCTTTATGTTGGGTAGCATCTCCGCGTGTTGAACAATTGGTGTGGCCTGAAGCTGAGCTGTTGGAAGGGTGAGGTTACCGTAAGCACAGCTGAAGTGTAGTATTTTCAGGCTCAATCTGAAAATGGGCAAAGAGCGGAGCAATGCAGATAAATTGAGGGAAAGAATTCCAAAGATTAAGGCTGAAAGCACGGTGGCCGATGGTGGAGCAGTGTGGAGGAGGGAGAAGCAGGAAGCCCATGCCAGTCGAGCAGTGGCAGCGGGTTGTGGGTTGGACATTAAGTTGGAGAGGCAGGGAGGTGTCAGGCCACAAAAGGATTTGAAGACCATTGTGAGGATATTGAAGTCGATCGGTTCTGTGATAGGGTGTAAGTGGAGCCCAGGAAAGACTGGTGAGATAGATGTATGGAGTTTAGATTGGGTAAGAACATGGGAGGTGGGTTTCTGAATTAGTTGGAGTTTGTGGATAGTGGAGCTGAGAGAATGGCGAGGAGGGCATTGGAATAGTCAGGTAAAAGATGATAAAAGGGTGGATGAGTGTTTCAAGTTTCACTTGATCTTACCTAACAGATGAGAAGTTATCCCTTGTAAGTTCCCTTCCTTGTTAAACAAACGGAGCAGGTCCCAGGGCGTCGGTCTCTATAACTCTTCCTCTCAGTGAAAGAAGCAGCTTCCTGACCGTTGCTGAGTTTCTCTTCTGTCGTTACTTCAAATACTTTTACATATCAGCGACTCATTGGAGAATGATACAAGGAGGAGCTTCTCTGACATCGAAGGTCACGTGTAAGAGTTTGATCCACTGCCAATATTGCTCTTCAATCACTGCGGTAACTATAGCAAACAGGACACAGAGCTATTTTGCCAACATAGTCAAGTTTCAATCTTTATAATTAAGCTCCCAATTTCAGAAAGTATTGTTCTTGGTTAACTTTCTCAAACACCCTCACAATATCATCCAGACACTCACTCTCTCACCGCTCACGCTCACCTCACTCTCTGCCTGATAACAGGTGATTATAATAATAATAATAATAATCCTTGCATTAGATATAGCGCTTTTCACGTCGGGAAGACGTCCCAAAGCGCTTCACAAAACACACTGTAAAGTGAATTGACTGTATATTTGTGGGCGAATGCGGCAAACAATTGCGCACACCAATGTCCCACAAGCAGTCGTGGATTGAAAATGACCAATTTATTATTGTTTTGGGTTTTGGAGGGATTATTATTAGGCATGTGGAGTAAGGAAACTTGCCCAAGGTTTGGCACTGCCTGGAATTGAACTCAGGTCTCTCGATTGCAAATCGAGTGGTCTAACCACTGAGCTACAGGACTCCATTATCCACCACAGACATTGGTCAACCGCACCCTTCAATACTGGTCTCATTCATGACTCTCCCCCTGTTATCGGGTCAGTGTCTGGGAGTGTCTGTGGCACAAAATGGCCTGGTAAAGGAATGAGCTTCTCAGTGAATGTGCTTGTGCAAGTGAAGAGATGAGAGAAGATATAAAACGAATACAGTCGTGATAATGGGAATTTCAATTATCCTCCCATAGATTGGCAATATAATTGTGTAGAGGGCACAGATGGGGAAAGATTCCTGAAGTGTTTGCTGGAAAACGTTCTTGATCAGTATGTTTCCAGCCCAACGAGGAAGGAAGCAGTTCTGGATCTCATTCTGCAGAATGAGGTGGGGCAAGTGGAGCAGGATTCAATGGGAGAGCATCTGGATAATAGTGATGAAAAAATCACTAGATTTATAGTACTGATGGAAAGGGACAAGGAACTATCAATGGTGATGTTACTGAATTGGAAGAGGTTAATTTCAGTCAGCTGAAAAGGGACTGAGCCAAGGTGGACTGAAAAGAGGGATTGGCAGGAAAGCAGCAAACGGGCAATGGGAAGCCATCAAGCAGAAGATAGTTCGGGGTCAGAACAAATACATTTCCAAGGAGAAAGGTAGGGCATCCAAAAACTCCCTGGGAAATTGGGATTAAAATAAAACATCAAAGGGAGTTTTACGATAAATATAATGTCTAAAATACAGAAGATAATCAAACAGAAAATACAAAGTACACAGGAGACCGAACAAGGAAATAAGAGGTGCAAAGAGATTTTATGAAAAAGGATTAGTGGTTATGATAAAAGGGAAACCTGAAGTATTTTAGAAGCATACAAAGAACAAAAGGTTAGTCATAGAAGGGTGGTTCTAATATTGAGATATGCGAAGAGTTTAAGTGTGCAATAATATCTCAGTGGTAACAGAACCACACCCAGATCAGATCAAACCCAAAGGTATGAAGGGAACTTCTCTTCCAGACACCAGGAGAGGTGGCAGTAAATAACACAATAGTTGCTTTACTTCACTTGACTTACTGTGGAGTACAGGAATGATGTAGATGAAAGCAACAGTTATTTGAACAAAGCAATGTCCCACAAAACAGCCATGAATTGATTGTCCGATTTTGTTTAGTGAGTTGACGGCCAGAACACCTTCTATTTTTGAAGAGTGTTATAGAATCTTTAACTTGCACTTGTGCAGGTAAATTACACTTTAGTTTAACGTCTCTTCCGACGGATGACACCTGATGCAATGCAGCACCCCCGAGCAGAGCATCGGAATGACAGGTTAAGTGAATATGACTCAAAAGTCCATAAGTGGAATCCACAATCTTCTGACGATGAGGACAGTGCTGCCCACAGAGCCCGATTGATTGATTTTTTTGTGAGCTGCATGTCTGATACATACGGACGTCCAGTGTTCGGCTTAGGACTCACCAAACCAAACGAGATCTTTGGATCGGAAATTCTAATAAAGATATTTATTGGATACAGTGGCTGGAGGGATGCTTACATAACATTGCTGAGTATTAGGCTCAGGTTTCGTAGACTGAAATCTTGGTGACCACATAATGTGATTTGGGGTACTGTTGGAATCTAACTGACTGAAACCACACACCTTATCAGTGAAAATGCTGTCTGGCAAGCTATTTCCTTGGACAATCCTTAGACAATCCTAGGACAATCCTCCTAAGGCAGCTTACCCTTCAGAGCTTAGCATACTGTGTGCAGTTCTGGTCCCCACATTAGAGAAGGGGTGTAGAGACACTGGAGAGTGTGCAAAGGAGATTCACAAGGATGATCCCAGAACTGAGAGGTTATACCTATTAGCAAAGGCTGAGCATACATGGACATAACATCGTCTCACTCTGTCTCTGCAATGTCTTGAAATCCTCCCATCCCTCTGATCAGCAAACATCTTTCTTCTACCCATCCCTGGCTTAAGCCATCCCATATCGGTGGGCAAGTTTGCAGGCTTTCTGCTCTCAATGTTTAAAAATCATGGACTTCCTCTGCCTTACACATCGCTATCTTTAAAGCCCATCTTAAGTCTTTACGATCAACCATACATTTACTATCTGCTGTAATCAGGTCCATCCCCTCTCCCAATCCAGACCAGAAATGATAAAGAAATGAAAGGAACTGTGAGCACATTGGAGCATAACCAAAGTCTTAAAGTGGAGCAATGTAGTTCCTGGGTTCCATTGTCGGCCTCAGCGCTTCTTGATCTATAGAGTCCTGTACCACAGTGGTTGGAGCACTCGCCTCGCAAGGGAGAGACCAGGGTTCGATTCCGGGCAGGGTGCAACTTTGGGTATGTTTCCTTACTCCACACAAATGAATAATCTCTCAAGAAAAAAATTTATAAAAATATTGGTCACTCCAATCCACGACTGTCTGTGGGACACTGTTGTGTGCAGTTGTTGCCACATTTCGCCCACAAATATTTAGTCAATTGACTTCATAGAATATTCTGCGAAGCAATTTGCGATGTATAAAAGATATGAAAGCACTGTATCAAATGCAACGATTACATTTGTTATTATTTTTATTATTATTATTTTTATTATTATTATGATTACTCTAGAACGTCACATTCACCAAAATAGTCACCTCGACCATTACTTCATCTCCCTTAACTACTGAATCTATTTTACGAACCCCACCCATCCCAGCTCCATCTCCTACCACCCCTGGAAAAAATCTCCCCGCAATCCCTTTCCGTTCCCTGGAGTATTCTGAACTTCTCCGCTTGTGGACTTTCTGCCACAATAACTTATCTTCAGTCACTCGTATTCACAGCTGCCTTTCAGCCACTCCTGATGCCGTTGGCACTCACACCTCCCAAACTGTCTCCAATGAACACATGTCACTATGTTACAAGGTACAGATGCATGCTGCCGAACACAACTGGCTCAAATCTAAATTAATGGTCCAATGGCAGATCTGGCTGGATGAAGTCAAAACGTACAGCTCTGCCTTCGTCTAATCTTCCTTATACCGAACAAGAATCTTGGAGGCCAAGGAAAATCCAAAACTGTTCTTCCCCTTTACAAACCGACTAATCCACCCACATTCTCACCCTCACCCATCTCTCCTCCATAATCTCCTCCTACCTATACCTCCTTTCACACCTTCGAATTTGTCTCCCCCTGCTCTCTCATCAACACTATAACCCCTTGAAACCGATCATCTACTCCCTCAACCCCATCTCTACCGCTTTCCTTACCTCCCAGCTGCACCACCTTGCCCTTTTATTCACATATCTCATCATCGTTTCTCACCTCCTTTAAACCATCCGCCCCCTATCCTCAAGAAACCTTCCCTGAACCCATTCCTTAAAACTACCACTATTTCCAACATGCCTTTCCTTTCCAAGGTCCTGGAATGAATCGTTGCTTCTCAGTTTTGCTCTTTCTACTCTGGCCACTCCCTATCCCTAAATCATCCAAAACTCTGCCGCTCGTGTACACTCACGCACCAGGCTCCGTGACCCGATCACTTCCACGCCACTGACTCCCCGTCCTCCAAAGGATCGAATTCAAGATCCTCGTCCGCAGCTTTAAGGCCATCTTTGGCCTTGCCCCCTCCTACCTCTCTGACCTGCTGTCTCCCTGTCAACCTGCAAGGTCCCTCCATTTAGCGAGCTCGGGTCTGCTCCATGTCTCCCGCCTGACCTGCCCTACCATCAGTGGCCGGGCTTTCAGCCTCTCTGCCCCCATACTCTGGAACACCATCCCACGTTCACTTTGCCTCGCTTACTCCCTTTCCTCCTTCAAGGCTGGTCTAAAAACCCATCTCTTCGATCGTGCCTTCGTTCTCCCTCCCACCTCTCTGCCTTCCCTCAACCCTACTCCACCCCTCCCACATGATCGAACCCTCCACCTGCTTGTTCAGCGCATTGGGACATCCTCCCGACGTGAAAGGGGCTCTATAAATGTCATTTTGTTGTTGTTGTATGCAAATACCTACATTTGATTTTCCATGCTGGCAACAGAACAGAACCAGCCCTGGTCAAAGTGACAAATGATATTTTATCCATCTTTAATCAGGCTCTCTCCTGCTCCTCATCCTCCTTGATGACTCTGCTCCCTTCAATATCGTTAACCACTCTATCCTCAGCCACCACCTAGCCGCTCACCATAACCTTCATGATTCTGTCCTTGAATGGTTCAGATCCTACCTCTCACACCATTTCCCTTTGTCTCCATTTGATGGCTTCTCCTCCAGCACCCGTACCACCTGGAGCGTCATTCC